ACACGACGCTCTTCCGATCTATTGTACTGGATCTTTTAAGACCTTGAGACAAATCGAGCACTGTAGTTTAATGTCTACTTTGTCTTTGAATCTCTCCTCTTCATAGCCGCCAAATGAACCTCGCCTCGGCATTTTACTTGAAAGTTGATTGGTTGTCAGTGTTGTGGCCGTTAATAATTGTGTGTGGAAGATTTTGTTGTAAGAAGAGTTGGTAGATCTTTCTCTTGCACTTTCCTAGTCGCTCAATGAAAAACGACGCCGAGTATATTTTTGTTATATATACGCAGTCTGCTGGTATCACCTTGGTGCTACCTGTTCCTTGAGTGTTTTGTTTAGTCACAGTGGTTTATTTAGTGAAGAATCTGATAGCACACATAAACAAACGCTGGCTGAGCTATTTGTTCTGAATTTGTGGTAAGCGTGACGCCTTTTTCAAAGCGTTGGGTTGAGTTATAAAATTTGCGTGGGACTTTTGTATTAAACATGCAGGTCAAATCGGTTGACAAACTCTTAAATTTTGATTTAATTAAGATGGCGATTTGTTAGCTTTGGCTCATAACCTATATATCGTGTTGAACTTGATTTAACGCCACGGTGTTTATTAATTTTTCACATGGCGTTTATTTGAGAGTCGTGTTCATAACAAATTATTAATTGAGGGAATGCCGTTTATATATGTCAATGGCCGGACCGGTAAACTGCGATGACATTTTTCCATGTTACAGCGGCCTCAATAAAATTGATAGCAATATTCGGTTCAGATTAGGTGCAAATTTGTCTGCAAGTTAATTCAAACCTTTTCTTGTCACAAAGGAACGATTTCCATGACACGAGTCAGCCCAGATAGACGGGCTAGCCCACCTCCTGTAAACAATCTTAAAACGTCAACCAAATTGATGTATCTTCGGATCTTTCTTGTAAAAGTTTTAAATTGCTGAGTTTTTGGTGACCAGCATGTTTAGTTGAAAATGCTTCAGTGAAACACGACATTCGCATTGATAAAAATAATTGTGATGTTTTGTAAAATATAACATTTTGATTGTACCTGTCATTTTTAGCTGAGTGAGACATTTAATGGAGTAAATATTATCTGCATTTACTTATTTTAATGGGTTTAAAAAGCAAAACGCATTGTCTTTTAAAGTACATCCTCGTTCTTTTCCGCTATCCACTTCTAGCCGCTATTACTTCCGCTACATGAAACCGCTACCCGCGCTACTTTATCCGCGCACCAGTATCCGCCCCGATTACAAAACAAAGCACATATGCAAGTCAAAGTAAATGTTTAATTTTAAAAACATTCAAATTTTCTGCACCAAAGTGTAGGCAATCTAAAAAAGGAGGAATAACCTAGTTAAGTAAGAAGTGTGTTTTAACATTCCCAAAGAGACCTTTGTTTAGCAGACGAAAAATATTTAAAAAAATTATGTCTATAAATGCAAAAAGTCAAACCCTAGTCGAGGCTCAACATACAAACATTTTCTGGGAGTGGACCCCCAGATCTAAAAATTCGTAGTTTTTCAGTTCACCACCTAGTCAGGTCCCTTTTTCTTGATGGCCCCTCCACTGACAAATTCTTAATTAAAAGAGGCTCGGGTATAAATGACAGGGGTGACTTTTGTTTGGCGGAAGTATAGAACGCATAAAGTAATTAGTCTGTGATGTTTAATAAATTTATACAGTTTAGTGACTTGTAGTTGTATAAGAAGTCGCAATAATTGCATTTCATATCTATTAACATATACTAACTTATATTCAGTGTATTATAGAGTATATATAAATTGAACAAACTCTGATTACATTTCTACATTAAATAACATATTGACATACTAATTATGGTATTCATGTATACATGAATTATTCGAATTAGTATAAAAGGTTTTAAAGACTTCTTTCCTAACAGTTCTATCGAATATTCTAACAGATTGGCTTGAAAACTGCAGTTAGTGCACTTCGTTTAGTTGTCATTGGCGACAGTTCTCTCCATATATTGGTACTTGAATCTAAATACTCTACTGAATTGAGACATGTTTTACTTTCATAATCATATCCGCCCATGACTATAATAACATTGCCAGTGGTAACTGCAGCACATAATGATCTTTTATGATTAAGACGAGGCAACATTTTAATTTTTCCTGTTTTCACATTATACAGTACTACACTGTTTAATGATTGACCTTTCTCATTAACACCTCCGATCAAAATTACATTACCTTTATAACTAACAGTAGCCATCTCAGCAATAGGAAATGGCAGTGGTGGTAAGGTTTTGCATTCATTATTGTTCAGGTCATGTACGTACACAGTGTTTGTAGCGTGCTTGAAGTTTCTTGATGTATTTCCTCCAACTACCATCACCTGGTTGTTCACGATCTCACAGCCATGGTAACATCTTGGTTCTGGTATCTGGGTCAATAATTTTGAGTTATATGGAGGATCTAGACTGATTTCATAAATCCCATCTGAAACATTGTCACCATCACTAAGTCCTCCAGTTAAAATCGCACTGTTCTCGTGACAAACCATTTTTTGTGAATAACACTTCAATGGCATCTTGACAGGAGACAAAGTCCATTCTACGTGTTCTTCGTCAACATTTAAAGTTTCAGTACTGTCAGTGGCCTTGGTTTCATTCCGTCCGCCACTGACATATATTTCACGACCATGGACAAATGCTGAAGGGGCTGCTCGTACCTTTTTCATTGCTGGTTCCAATGTCCAGGAATTCTCGGGCCAGCTGTATGACTCTATGGAATTTAGACGCGTCTTGCCATCGGTCCCTCCACAAACGAAAATCTTCTGTTTCCCAGTGAACCAGTCACTTCTCTCAGTTGCTTCTTTTGTAATATATTCCATTTCCTCTTGAGTCAGCTTCACTTGCTTTATTTCATCGTTGACTTTCCTCACATTATTTTGAACAACGTTCAATCTTCTCGCTAAATCGTCCATTTCTTTTCGCATGAAGCACGGGTGTACACGACTTGACTTCCATATTACTTGTTCTCCACACTCGTCGCAAACGATCTTACGAAACTGACACTGTTCACGTTCGTGTCGTTCTTTCTCGTGTCGGTTCATCACTACTGCGCAACCAGCATTTGTACAAGGTGTTGGTGAATAGCCACAGCTGTTAACATGCCGATCAAGGAATTCAAGCTTGACCAATTCTGGGCAGCCGCGGTTTTCGTGATCACAACGAATCATGAGATTCTGCAAGAAGTCCGTCAAGATTCTCGGTGGTTTGGTCAAATATTCTTCCGTCAGATGGTGCTGACACATCGGGCAAGTTTCTGCGTTTTCGCGCAGATTTATTCGAATACACGAGCCGCAGAAGTAATGCTCATTCGGGCATTGTACTGGATCTTTTAAGACCTTGAGACAAATCGAGCACTGTAGTTTAATGTCTACTTTGTCTTTGAATCTCTCCTCTTCATAGCCACCAAAGGAATCTTTCCTCGCCATTTCTCTTCCAAGCGAACTGAGGAAAACGTTTGATATGTTTTTGATATCGTTGTTAGAAAGACAGATTGTAAAGACCTTGTCTCGTTGCTGCTCGTAATAAAAAACAATACTCTGGTGATGTGTCGTTATATCATTGGCTTTCTAAGAATACTATAACTACGTCATAATGCCGCATTATGAATAAACTGTTTTGCATCTGCGTCATTGCGCCGACCACAGCCAAATATAAATTGCGAAAGAATCAAATTGTATTTACCAGTTGTCTTGCTCTTAATCTCTTTAATATCCTGTTGTCACACATAGCTTAGCCATGTAGTACAGGGTAATACAGGATGTGCGCAGGCTACACATAGCTGAGTAGTGCGAAAATGGTTTAAACATAGCTAAACATGCTTGACCAAACTTACTTTGAATTATAATTGACAAAAAAAGGATAATTGACAAGGCAAGGCAAACTGCCGACACAGAGCAACACTAGAATCCTGGAATAAACATTTGCCAGAACAATATCGGTTTGTAAGATCGGAGAACGTCTCCAAATGAATATATATTAATCCTGGTCGCGCTTCTAGCATTTTTAATCGCGTTGGTGTTATGTTACTTGTGTTCGGGGCTTTGCGCCAAACTAAAGTCACATTCAAGGAGACGTCTGTAAAGGAAGTAAAGTCTCTTGAGTCGAGAGGAGAGATATTGTTTTCCGAATGATTTTGTAGCAAAATAAACCATGTTTAAATGCGTTTAATCAGTACATAACATACACACCTAATCTTTATTTACCCTCGGATTGACGAGACTAACCTGTAAATACAGTCTAGCAAAATACGCTAAGGTGTCGAGTGTCAGGATGAGAGTTGGGCAGTCACGCGACCTTGGTTAGCTGTTCTTGAATCTTGATGCTTTCGGGCCAGCTTTCCCAACACTATCATGTATTTTAAGTTAAATCATACTAACATAGATGGAACACTCGTCGAAACCTAATTTTGTTAATCTAGAGCGGATTGAAATGTTCTCTCATCCTCGTTTGATCTGGGCTTAAATGCACTTGTACATATATATATATATATTTGATTTTCCGTGGTTGGGCAAATCAAGGTCACAATCTGTCTTTCGTCGTTAGAAAGACAGATTGTAAAGATGTAATCTTGCAGCTGCTGGAAATAAGAAACAATACACTGATGATGTGCGGTTATTTGATTAGTTTCCTGTGAATACTTCCACGTTACAATACAGACCACAGGAACCGCATTATGGATGAGCTGTTTTTCCATTCGCGCCGGTGCGCAGCAGAAAAGCCACATTTATAAAACTGTGGTTGTTTTAATACATAATTTACAAATATTAAAAAATTAATGTAAAGAATGAAACTTGGAAATGCCAAAATGTTTGAAATTCCCTAATACTGTCATAAAACAACGCAACAAATTCATTGTGACGTTATGTCACGTGATTTATATGGGGGTGGGTTAACAGTTTTTCTTTTTATTGGTTTGCTTCGGAGCAACCCCACCAGACTTATGTAGGCCTAGCTTTCACGACCCTGGGCTTATTTAGTTATGTTAGCATTGGCTTGTGAACGAATTGACTGCTTATACGCAATTTAAAAAGAAAATTATGCATAAAATGTTTTTAATAGCTAATACTTGGAAATTGAATTCATTGCCATTGGGCTGTCGTTATATGTTACTATATGCAAAGCATTATGTATATGTTTAAAAACATTTTCTTGCCGTAATGACTAATGTTCAAACTTCTTGACTCAAGGCCAAGAGAGAGTTCACAAGACATCAGACATTGATGTATAAGCCAGTAAGGCTAATTTCATTCGCATTTTTACTTTGATAAATATACCATTGACATATTTTATCTGATATGTGATTAAAATTAATTATGAACCGAATCATAGATATCAAACTGTGTTCTTTTGTAAATTATAACACAATATTTTTCATAAGCAGTTAAGTTAATTAATGGAAAACAAGTATGCATGCTTAATAAAATTTCATAAAAATACTTGGATTCAAGAGAATCTCGCCATATTTTTCTTGCTACAAAGCTTTATAAAACTATATTTTCCAACTTTTTGCCTCAGTGGAGAGTTTACTACCAATTTTAGTCATAGTTTTGCTTTGATAAATACCATTGCTATATTTATCAGATGGGTAATAAATGGTGCCATGCAGTATTGATATCAAACAGCGTTCTTTTGTAAGTCATAACATAGCGTTTTAGCGCAACCAAACTAAAAAAGTTAATTAAAGAAAAGTATGCATAAAATATTTTCAAGTATTACTTGGAAATTGAATTCATGGGAATCTATCTATATGCTTCTTACTACAAAGCAATATTTTTTCTTTGCTAATGATCTAAACTAACTTTACTTGTACTGGATTGCTCTACATGACTGTATCAAGTTCCAAACTCTTCCCCTTAGAGATGCAATAAGAGTCATATTTTGTCCCAGTGTTACCACAGGAGGAAAAATAAACTAAATTAGAAAGCTTTCGTTGGTAGGGATGCAACTACCTGAAAAATACAAAGCGAAATTGGACGTTTCGAGCGAAATCGCATCATCAGGAAGTTAGCTTGTCAGTACATACATAGTCTACATACGTATTTACCCTCGGATAATTGATGAGGCAATATACCACAGAGAGCCCATCCAGGGTCTTATTGAAGTTGTGTATTAGGATTA